CGGGTTCTTTATTTCTTTGTTCAACTTTTTCTCTCTCTATTTTATCGCAATAGGTATCATACGTTTTTTTGTCTTTCAAGAGTCTCATTTTTTTATATCTAATCATTATTTTATGTTCTTCAGTATTCTTAATAAATACTGTATTTCAAAATACAACACAGATATACGAATTTATCGAAGTGATTATTTTCCAAGCTATTACAGAAGTAAAATTCTGCAAAAATTTTGATCTTATGGGTCTCATCAATCTCATCAAGAGCAATATCACTTCATTCTATACCTATTAAAAAGAGATTTTATGTTTTGTTTTATCCGATTGTGAATAATTGAAAGCGGCAAAAGTTATGCGAAATTTTTCTTTTTCAAATATCGTAGCTGAAAAAATAAATAATTCCAAACTTCATGCAAGGGGTATGTCGAGCATGCCATGATCCAGATTTTATGCCAGGTAAGACGCTCATCAGATGGCTTTGACTTTGTCGTGTACTTGTTCGAAATGATGGGAAAATCACAAACAAAATACAAAGATCTATATATAATCCTGACAATAAGTCTTAATGAACAAAATACTTACTGCAGAACCGATGGGTATCTGCTTTGCCAGTGATTTGTATAGCTTTTACAATATCTGTGTATAGAATATTGATCGTTCCACGACAAACGGCGTTTTTTTCTGTTTTGTCAGAACGTCATCAGATGGAATTTCATTCTCATTGACATTATATCATTCTTTGAATAGTCCAAAATGAAAGAAAATAACATCAGAATTCTGCTTTGTTACAATATTCTTGTGTTTATTTACTTTTGCACATAAAGTCATCAAAATAATAGAATTAACAATAAATAATCATCATGAATTCCAATAACCAAGGAAAAGAATTATATATGTCCATATCTATCAAGGATGATTGAAATAATATGGACAGGATGGGTGGGTGTGTAGAGCAATCATGATGTTAACATTTTATCTCCACAACGAAAATCTTCAGATGGTAGTCGTTTCGATCCAACTGCACTTGAATCAGAAACAAGTTTGACTCTCTACTGTTACACGAAGCAATGCTAGGTCGTATCTACTTTAGAAGAGCATATCACGATCAGTTTTCATGCAGCGCTGATCGTTCGCTGTTGATTTGTTGTGTTTGAAGTATCTTTTGAGACTTGTAATATAAGCTCGATAATTGATGAAAGTTGTGTTAGTTGCATTTGATTAGCATAAGATGAATAAATTGAGATATACTTTTTGGATCTAGAATGAACGATAGGATTCGATAAATCAGTGTTTCAAAGGTAGAAAAAAGAAAGAAATTGTTTTGAAGATCATTTTATTGTTGTTATAAAAGAAATAAATGATCCACGTAATTTTAGGAAAGAAAGTGTCACTGTTTATAAGCATGATTAAAAGTTGTCAAGGGATTATGTAGCTGTTGGTTTGACAGCCGTGCACTTTTGTCCTATATAATGAAATAAAATATATTTCTTTAAGAAAGTTATTGATGATTAATAAAATAATCTAAACTTGTTCAGCACAAAACCATGTCGTCGGAATGGATTGTGTGGACGTTTTCTTCGTGTAAATTTTGTCTTTGTTTTTGGATTATTTCGATTTCCACCAATCAAGTTTGCATCTGCCACTATTATATTATGAAAGATTTGATCGTAGACTTGATGTATATGTCGTTTGAGAGATGTCAATCTTTTCTCATATGCATAATGGTGAAATAGACATTCTTTGTATTCGCTCTTTTGTCTTGTTGATTCAATGCTGGATTTATTGTTGTAATTTTCTTTCATCATCATCATCATCATCGTTATCATCAATTTTAGACAGTGCTGTATCCAATGCAACTTGTGATTGTCTTGGCTTAGGTTTAGGTATAATTTCATTATGTATAAGCATAAATTGACTTTCATCATTAATCATTGGTAGGATTGAAGGACATCAATCATATTGATCAAAAAATTTTTGAAATTCTCTGTTAATTAATGTGGATGGATAACTAAACATTCATTGAAGAAAATAAAGAATTTCTTCATTTATTTGATATAGATTTCAATATGATCAACTTACTCATAGTACAAGGTATGTAAAGGTATTTTTTCAGCGAGGTAACGCTGTAATTTCAAATGACATTCACAACAAATTTTATACCAAATTAAAGTATCTCGAAGATGGGATTCATCAATACTAAATAGTAAGTATTAGGATAGCTTTTCAGTGTTGAATTCGGAAAACTCCTAGAATTTTACGCTATATCAGCGGAGAAAAGTTTCTTGCGTGAAGTAGTTTAAACTAGATCCCATTTAAAATGATGAATATTAAAAAGTAATGGATACGTGACCTGAAAATATTGGAACAATAATCAAAAATGAAGCTGAAAATAATGACTATCGGACATGAAACACAATCGTTTTGATGAAGAAACTCCAAAAAACATATTTCATAGATTTTGACAAACATTGAACTATTTGAAATTATTTTATGTTCGTATCCGTCTCAACTTGATATTCATCATTATAAATGAGATCTAGTTTAAACTGCCTCACGAAAGGAACTTTTCTCTGCTAGTACAACGTAAAATTTTAGGTACTTCCTGAATTTGATACTGAAAAGTTATCCTAATGCTTACTATTTATTTTATTCATAGATAGTTTTTGAATTAAAATAAAAGAAAATTAGTTTTTTTGTTGTCTTATATGTTTTTGGATCACAATATATATAAGATAGTTTTCGCGTCTGTATATCAGGCTACATTTCTTTGTATTTTCAAGCTAAAAGTTTTCCTTCTTTCGCATGAAGATCATTGAGTAAGTGAATCACTTAATTTAATACTGCTTCAGATGGATTAGATATTAATTCCTTACAAACTTCTGTTGTTTTCTCGATATTCGATTGCTTTTTATTCATAATCAACAATTCGAAGACCACAAAATACACCACTTTTGTCGGTTTCACGAAGAATACCTGTGTATTTTTTCAATTTGTGACGAGTCGATTTGACAGTATCTAATTCTCGTTGAGCACGTATTTGATCAGTCATTGATAACGGAGTCATGTAACGAAGATCAAGACGATTGTAAAGATTTTTTGAATAAATATCATAATCGGTTTTGTTCGGTCTACACGATGATATGTAGCAAGATAGTCTTTCACGTTTTTTCTATCGATATTATTGTTGCTTTTAAATCTTAGTTGAAACAAACGTAGATTTTCCTGATATTGTTGTTCATATTCTTGAATTTTCATTCCATAGACATGAAAATAAATATTTAATCATGTACGTTATACTTGTATAATTTTATAACATTGATTTTTGGGTGTGAGTGTGGGTGTACGAGTATACTTCAACTAAAGACCGACATACACCCTAGTTGTAAAATATAATTTAATGTTCATTTCAGAGTGAAATGGCTATGGGTAGTTTTTGAATAACTTTAATAAAAAGAAGCGAAATAAGTCGAATTTTTCATACTATAGGGTGTCCAGAAAGTCACTAGAGTTAGAAAAAATTGCATATCTCTCTGCTACGGCTCGAGCAAACAGGCTGATTTTTCTACCAATAATAGAAGCATGTTTGCACTTTAAATCCATACAGACAAGGTTAGAGAGAGCCTTTGTTAAGTACCACCAACGACCTCAACAAAAAAAATTTTACTTTTTCACAGATAGGAAAAAAACACTATACGGAGTGGCGCAAAAGTCACTTTGCCGCAAAAAAATTGAATATCTTCACTATGGCTCGAGCAAAAGAGTTGATTCTTTTATCAATGATAGAGGCATGTTCAAGCTTTATATTCATAAGGACATGCCTAGAGAGATCCTTTGTTTTCTTTGTTCTCTTGTTTAACATTGTACCGGTGACTTTCTTCTCTCGTTTATCATCGCTTTTGGAATATTCTCTATTATAGGTTTTTCCTTATTCTCATATACATATAGTAATTCATCTGCTGCAATAAAGAAAAGTTAACTACCTTAACTAAAAGAAACATGCACTCAGTGTGTATGTATGTTCCGTTTCGTTTTATTTCGAAATATGCACATTTCTGTTTGAATATCTATATAAAAGATATCTCAAAAGTCACCTATCAAAAAAGAATTCGAGCATCTCTATCGTACTTTAATCAAATCAGTTATTTCTTTTTTCTGATGATAGAGGAGAGATGCAAGTTTTATTCTTATGAGAAAAGTTCACAAGTAATAGTCGGGCCCGTTCATGTTGATTGAAATTATGAAACTTTACATAATTTACTGAATATCAATGAGAAGGCACTAAATTTTGAAAATTTCATATAGAGAAGAGACGACATCTAAAGACTTTGAAACTTGCTACACATACTAGTTTAAATAACCGCATTGTTTGGGTTAAATTTCAGGTTAGTGATTGCTGTAGAATTATTCTCGATTAAAATTCAGAGAAAATCGCTTTTTGCTTCTTGAAATCTATGGAAGTTAATTCAGTAGAAATTCAACAGCTTGATTAACGCGCAGCAAGGACATGAACCCTTCTGTAGTCTAGTGACCCTTTACTAATGAGCAAAATATGAATTCAAAATTCTTTAATCATTTGCGATCTTTCATCATAAATATTCCTCTGAATCAGAAAGAAAAGTTGATTTTTGTATTGGTGTCAAGAATGATAATTTTGAACATTATTTATCAATTTCTCCTATAAGAATAAAAACTTGGATCTTTCCTCTATCATCAGATAAAAGAATTAGCTGATTTAGTAACAACATAATGGAGATATTCAAATTCTTTTTTACTCGGTGAGTTTTAAGACATCATGTATATAAAGAAAAACAAAAGACAAGATATGTCTTCGAATAAACACTACGTTTTCATTCAGTGTTCACATAGAAAGAGAAAATATCAAATATCATCGATCATTTATATTCCTTCTAATCATCCATTTAATACATTTACATTTCATCTTAACTGTTGTTTAAGCAAGAAAAGCAACATAAACTTTTAAAATAGATTCATTGATATTTTAGAAACAATGTATGTGCGTGAATGGACGAAATCACGTAATCATGATTAAATTTCTATTTTAAAATTTTTTTTTCGATACATAGATTTAGTTTCGGACAAACATATTAGTATTATAGCTGGTATAACAAGTCCAAAACCATTGATAAAAAAATGATTTTTCTTCTATTGATTTAAAATAATTTTTTTTATTTTTTAGACACAATCAGCAGTGACGACACATTTGGATAGTCAATCTATGGCAACAGATGATAGTGATTGTTATCCAACAACTTCAAAATTTTTTAAAACTCAACCAAGTGAATTTAATTCTAAGCAAGGTGAAAGTGGAGAAGAAATTTCAGCTAATTATATCAACATTTTGGCTTCACCTAAATTATTCGAAACCAATGTAACTTTTTCCTATGAAAAACTAATCGTTGAATGTCGGTTTTCGATTAAATTACGAAAAAGTCATCGTGAAACATTGGCTCAAACCAGTATTGAAGATGTAGCTTTTCATGGAATAATTCTTTATTCTTTCGAAGATTTTGAAACGGTACTTTTTTTCTTTCATGACTTCATTCGGAATTAATTTTTGTTGGTATACTAAAGGGGAAAACCTGTTTTCAGTAAACATTCTATTACTAATGAATTAGTAACAGCTTCACCTGAATCACCTGAGTTTTTTTTTCATTTGACTAATTTAATTGTTTACAAGTAATTCATAACTAATCTTTATATTATTACTCGATTTTTTTTTGTTTCGTTTCATTAGATTAATTGAAATTACCGGTTTGAAGTTACTTGCTCAAAATTATTATTACTCATTTGATAAAATAAAATCAAAGTCGATCGATGTAAATTAACACACTACTATAATGTCTAGACATCTTTTCATGATACTACCTAAACAAGCTCAAGATGGATGATTAAAAAGAATTTATTGGACAGATTCTATTAACACTATTTGTGTCATTTCTGTTTTTCTAAAATATAAAATAAAATTGTTTATTGTTGTTTTTGTTCAGATATAATAATGAAATACATAATATTTTTGATATTGCTTAGAATAAAGATCTGAATTAACAATTTACTAAGTATGACGATATACAACAAAGTCTTTGTCAATATTATCAAGAAATGAAATTGCAAGTGAGCGCATTTGTTGATTCTTCTTTTTATTTATAAAAATATCATATTAAAATAAAACTTAAACGACAATCATTAATATTACTGTTAAAGAAAACAAACGAATTGCTGAACATGCTTCGAAAAAAAGAATATCCACACCCACATCCTTCACTTATTGCTCTTCTATTTATTTTTTAATATGATTTCACTGTAAAAGTTTTTGTTTTTCTATTTTTCCGCTTTGCATACCATTGATTATGCTTATACCGTATGTTCTGTTTTACGAGTTTAGAAAAATCAGATCACTAAACACAATGACAATCGAAAATGAGATATGTCATAAGATTTCCACTAAATTCAACCTCATATTTGTGGGAAATAATCGACTAGAAAGTGATGGATAATATTGAATTGTGTCTTATCAATGAAACTCTACCTCTGGTTAACTGATTCACAAAATTATATTCTATTCAAATTTTGTCACTATATCTTTAAATCGATGATCTTCTGACATAAAACTTAGGATTAGAGCATGGCCGCGTAAAGACAATAGTAGAGAAGAAAAGGCGAATCGATCAAAATTCAAGCAAATATATGTTTTAGTAGTGCATCTATTGATGTTGTTAGTTATTTTGTTGTATTCAATTTCAATCGCACTATTTCATCTTCGTCTTTGTATGTTCATCATCAAATTGATATGGATTCCACCAACCCCAGGCAATGCTACTAATTATTAATGAACTAATGTAAAAGGACGAACCAGCAGGATGTACTTGACGAAATAGATGATTACACAAGAATGTTAACGTATGAAATATATTATACACACCAATTGCTTGAAAAACTAATTGTAACACCTTAGAATTACGGGTTCTCAATCCTACCAAGGCCAAAAATCCAATCAGAATATCTCCACTGGCGACGACCTGAACCCAAAACTCAGCAGACGGAGTAGGAACACCGCCAAAGTATTGTATCGTACCGCCAGGAACGAACAGATAGAGCAGAGCGGAAAACCAGGGTAAAATCAAAGCTAACCATAGATAAGTGATATGGATAGATAGCATGATGATGTGCGGGTCAGTAATGTTACGAGTATCTAAAAAACATTGTAACACACTAGAAAACGCAATAGAATTCGCTCCAACTCATTTCAAACGACTCTATCGAATGAAAAGTAAAGCTAAAAAACGAATGATTGCATTTCGCCTTCAATAGTGAGGCATGTCGACAAGTCACGTGACATAAAAGGTATGAAAACAAGAGCAAGATTTGTTCGTTCTGCATTTGAGAATGACAAACAACTATTTCGTGTGTGATATTGCGAAGTGTAAAGAACAGCAAACGCACGCTTCTTCTTCTCTTTTTCTTACGAGTAAGTATTTATTTTTATCGATACTCGGCAGAGAATAAATACGAGAAAAAGCGCCACAATTGTCATACTATCAAACACACAACAATAATCAATGATAGGGATGCACCAAACCTATCAGTTTGAAACTTGAAGTTTGATATTCGAATTCGAGTTTAGACTGTGAATGTTAGTATTGGTAGGCTCTGAGAGACTAGCCATACCAGACCCTACAACAATCTCTACACTCATGCCTTTTATGAAGGTTTGTTTTTTCGAAAAAATTCTATTGTCATGAATATACATAAAAATATTGGTTCTTTCAGTTGGTACCTAACTAAACTTAATTATCTAATTAGTTAATTAATTAAAATGTAATTAGCGCATAACTCTCTAATCATATGTCAGAAAACGGGTGTGAGTGTCGGATTTGTCGGGGTGCCTGTGGGTTTGATGTGTGGGTCTTCTCTTCACTTACACCTCCACCTCCACATCCACTCATACTCACCACAACGTCTTTAATACAGAGCATGATATATGTTAAACAAATCTTGTTTTGCAGACAAAACAAAAAATATTTCTCATTCGAATTCTGTGAGTTCCATCACTCATTTTATTTTAAATTTAGAAGAAGCTAAATTTCTCTAGTTTTCTGAGTTCACGTTTTTCTTTGAAACATTATTCTAGAGATATCCATCGAATCATTTCAGTTCATCCGATTTCATCATCAATGATTCGATTAGATGATGCTGCTATTGAAGCATTTTATGAAAATTATGTAGAGTATCTCCTTGAAAATCCACCTAATGCTCGAGATGATATTATTTTATTTGCTCGTCGCGCTGATAAACTTCTGCATGAACGTTGACTACATTTATCTCATGTTCCACATCAAGTGGATATTGCTGATCAACATGAATCAAAAAGAAATATTGATAAACATACATCATTACAAATCAAGCATAAACCAAACTGAACAAACAACTAAACAAGAACAATTAAAATATTCTCAAATACTAAGCAACAATTAGATATAAAAAAAACATCATCTTCTTCCTTATGTTCAATTCCTCTTCAAGACACTCTTTCTATAGAATCATGTTGAAACAATAAATAATGTTCATGTTATACAACCGACAAACAACGTTTGCAACATTATTTAAGTATACTTTGTTTTTTTTGAATTAGTAAAGCTGTTTATACCGATGAGAATAAAATTTTTAATTTCATTTTACTTATATGAACACGAAAAAAAGAAAGTTACATTATGTACAGTTCAACTGCTGTGTCTAGAACCATTTTATTCGTTTTCCAGGAACAAAACGAATGAATTTGATCGAAGAATTGAGTTGTGAGTAAAAAACATTGAATTAGAAAGTTCATCCATATGCTCTATAATTTAGAAGTTGTAACTAAATACCGATAGCATAGGAAAAGTAATGATTTTTCGAGAGAAAATAGTATATAATCAACTTGAAAATTTAACAAACATATAAACTTCGTTCTTGACGATCAACTACGAAGCTGCAACGAATAATTCAGTGGGCCATTTATTTCTATCAACATTGAACATCCGTACATGACGTAGACATAGATTTTCAATTCTTGATTTTGCCATATATTCTTGAACGTGAGCTCTTCGAATCAAAAGAATAGTTAAAATGAGAAATTTATTTCAACTACAATTTCATGAAATGTCTTTCCTTCAATTGATAAGTCAAATATTCTTAAAAATGCGACAAGTATGGAACGAGAGCAAGTTTCTAATTATTGATTTTATATTGAAAATACTTTAAAACTACTTTTTGTACCAAATCACAAAAGCAACGATCGTCCTCAAGCAATTCGAACATAAAAGTTCACCAGTACAATACTCAATCATACACTACAAAATACAAAAATATTTGTTGTTTTCTTCAAGTTACGATATTCAACAAAGTTCGACATTCAAGTGTCAATTGTCTAGTTAGAAAAAAGCACGATCTGATTCATATGAACAGTTCTAGCATATGGAAGTCAAGTTTGCACTCTCAATATTTTCCAGATAATACAATATTTATGATTTCTTTTCTTCGGTACAATAAATTCTTGAGTATATATATTATACTGTCCTCGTCATAGGTATCTACAACCATAAAGTAAGAGACTCAAGTGATTTTATTTTTTCTTTCATCATCAATCATACTATTATGCATCATTTTAATTCTTTGAAGATCATAGTTTCAAAAGGATAAATCACATGAGAAAAGAGAAAATTTTTCTTTTTATATTCGTTTGAATGATCTATATTTATTATTCTTGAATTCTTATGTGTGTGAAAAATCCATGATATATTGTATTGAATCATCAAAGTGATCTATAGGATTTCGTAAGAACTTATAAGATTTAACTTTTTTTCTTTCTACAAACGATCATAAATACCTGCTTTTAAGCAGTAACAAGGTCTATATGATGAAAAATCCTCAGTTATGTATATGTTCTATCGTGGACATCATTCAAAACAGAAAAGTTTCAATCAATACAACTTAAGTTCAATCTGTTCTTAACTAACAAGATGATAGATTTATTCAATTATTTTCAGTTTTCGTCCGTTATAGGTAAAACTTGAACATATCAATTAAAGTAATTCTTCACATTGAATCAAAATTAAAAATCAATTAGGATATCTGTATAATATGTTTGAACGAAATTTTTTGCAAATTATTCAATCGTGTAGAATTTATAATCGAATAGTATTTACTTGTTGTGTATTAGATAATGCATGTTGCTTCATTACTATGTAAAAAAAAACAGCACGAGCATACATAATTTATAATCTGTTTCGTTACATTACTCTTGGTTTTATATTTATCAATCTAGTTTTTATGACAGTACGTTTTATATCGATATAAATGATTACTACACTACAATGATTTTAAACATTTTATTCGATTCTCTTTGAAAAATATATAGAAGCAATAAATTACTTAACAAAAGTGTTTCATAGCTGTCTATTTTATTTTAAGGCTATTTCTTATCAACAGAAGTAGATCCATGC